AGCTAAGATTAGCAAAAGAGACCTGTGAAAGCTGACCATACATATATGTGGGTGAGCTATGTAACAAAAAAATATCTATATATATATAAAATTATATAAAAATAGCAGCTTCGAACGGTGCTTAAATATGCCGAAGATACGCAAAGTTATTTAACAAAAACGGAAAACACTTTTCAATACTTAAAAGGTACTTGGGTGCTTCCCATTTTTTATTTTTTTTTATATATTTAAAGATTTCACAACAAGGAATTCATATTTCTATAAAGTGTTGTTTTCAAAATTTAAGAACAAGTCTAGTCATAAATAACTTACCAGGTCATTTGGCGAATCTGCATGTAGACCACCGATTTGTATGTATTTCCCATCCCACATAAACTGCGATCGGATGTGATCAGGTAGAACGTGTCTTTCAACTCTGTTAGGGATGTTGGAACCCAATAGGAAGTCACTGCTTAAGTCTGAAATGGCTACATTTAGGTTCACTGCTTTTTGGCGCTGAAATTGAAGAATTACACTTTTATTAATTGTTTTACAAATTTTAATTCCTCATTGACAGTTGCAGATAAAAAAAAACAAAATTGCAAAGAACACGTGGTATCTGCAGACAATCAAACACTGATTTGCGAACACACAACACTACAGCTGATCAAATTTTTCAAATGACCAGTAAAAAACATAGCTAGTCTATAATAAAGATGTACAATAGCGATACATTATGGATAACACAAACACATTTACAAGTGACATGCATGTATATAACATAAAGCTAAGAGCAAACCCCATTAACGAGACTGTACACACTACTTCTGAAGATAATGACAAAACAAAACAAAAAAAGGCTACATCCCTTTGTGAACCTTCTACAACAGATTTTCTTTCAAGTTCTGTATAAGGACCAACATTTGGCAGACCTATTTATTTTGGTTATAGATTACTGCCACCTAGTGGACCTAAGTTAAACAGCACATAAGTGTAATAATTATTCCAGACAAGAAAAAATAAAAAAATAAAATAGTCAGCACCTTTTACACAGTCTATGGGAGAGAATGGGCATTAAATGCGCCACTGTTCCCATAAATCTCTGCCATGCTGGAATGCTTGCTTATCACTACAGGACTTGTAAAAAACAACTGCTGGAGTACCTAAACCATTTTTTCCCCTCATGCACTCTTGTTATCTTGGGAAAATCATCAGGACCTGCTCCTTTCCTCGGCATTTGAATACCTAAGCAGGAGATTCTGTTAGCTGATTGGCTGAGAGATAATAGCTCTTAGCCAATGCACTAAACCCTGCACTGCGATTCTTAGCTCAATCAAAAGAACATTCCGTTGAAGACTGCTGAACACACTACCCTTGGTGAAGATAATACACCCCATGCTGGAAATGCTGAACGGTTTAACTTCTCTCTTAAATGAGACTACAACTCTTATCCTACTTTATCCCATTCACTCACTGCATCAGAGAGCACTATTCTTTTTTCCCCACTTTTTTTTTTTTTTTTAATGCCTTTCCTGTTGAAGAGGTTATAACATTAACACATCCATCAGTGGGGATTGTACCACTATACACGGTTAAATCCAGATCTGCTTGGGAGCTCCGCTCATTTCTGATGTGTGTCCTACCAATACCACAGACATACTTCACCCTTGGTTCTCTCTCTCATATTACATGTACCCATGAAATATCAACGTATGAAGTAAAACCATCTAGTGGACAGTGAAAATTCTGGACTGCGTCCCTTGGACTTTTTTTCATAATTTCCCTACTCTATAAAACACAATTTGTAGGCGCAACCTGTATTTGTTATATTTCAGAATGTGAGGTTTATGTGTTTACAGAAGACATGGAATAACGACATGTTACAACATTAGCGTAGGACACAATGTTTTGCGTTAATATGAGCTTACCTTATCTTCATCCAAGTGGATTCCACTTATTTCAAAGTCAAATAAAAACAGCTCAGCCACCCGTCTTCACACATAAAGAGAAAGCAAATCAGGTTTTTTTAAGCAAACTGTAAAAGCGTATAAATGGCTTTTTAAAAACACTACTCAAGACAGGAGTCAAGCCCTAATTAAATGATTCATTTATCCTGCCAGGCGAAGAAGTAGGGGACACTTATTAGCCATTACAGCCATGTCATTATTTTCAAAGGGAGTCCAAGTTTCTAGCAAGCTGCAATGTAGTACCATTCATTTCACCCTACAACCATCTAAGAGAGAGGCCCTCAGAGGAGGTGAGAACACATACTGGTCTTACCAGTATGCTTGTAAGTGGGTGGATGGATTTAGGGAGATTTTGTGAAAATTTACAGAATTTTAGTTAAGTCTCATTTGAATCATATAACATTGAATAAAGTATATACAATATTATTGATATCCACGTATTTACTCCTTTAGATTCTATGCTCATTTTTATTTTTCAATACTTAATATATGTATTTTTCATCTTTTTTGTTTTCACATTCATTTAATATTCTTATTTTATTTTCATTTATTATTACTTTCATTTTAGCTTTATATGTATATTTTCCTACATTTATATTTATTTATATGTTCATTTTTTTTTTCCACTCCTATTTTTTATTTATAATATATATATATATATATATATATATTTTTTTTTTTTTTTTCATTTTTACCATTATCTATTATGCATTGTTTTTATTCCATTTCTATATATTTTGTATATATTTTTCCCTATATTTTTATTTTCAATCTTATTTTTTGCATATATTTTCTACCCAATATTTTTCATCAATATCCATCTTCACATTCTTTATTCCCATATCTTCTGATGCATCTTCCAATTCCCCACATTCATCATTTAATGTAATTATATTGTCATTTGTACTTTTCAGACCGCATCAAGCATCTAGTAATACACTCTCCCATTCTTTCTTTACGAAACCAGCAACATTCAAGAACTTTAGAACTCACATTAAAATAACCTAAACGTAACAGGAAAGAGACACAGAGTATCAGAGTATCATTCTAGTAGGAAAGTGTAACATATACACTAAGAAATTGGAAACGTGCAACAAGTAAGCAGTAGCTTAATCTGCAAGACATAGATTATGTATATATATATTTTTATTGTTTGTTCTCCATTTGTGTACTATTTTCAAATATAAATATGTTTAAGCGCAACTTCACCAATTTTTACTTTTCTCTTATTTTCGCAAAAAGATATATATATATATATATATATATATATATATATATAAAATATATGTTTTAGAATGCAGTATTTCCTCATCTTTACAATTTCCTGTGTGAAAAGTGCACTTTTAAGAATTATACATCGAACCCACAACACCTCCACAGATGAAATCCATTAAAATAAACTAACATATGAAATTAGAGGTTGGATCTATAAAAGAAACCTCATCACTCGGTATTCACCATCATTCCCTGAAGAAACAAGCACAAGACTTACGAAACGCGTAGGATTTTGGCAAATACCGATCAGTATCTACAATGGGAAAATCCAGAGAGTCACCGCATTTTCATTCCGGCAGTTCTGGTGTGCCATACCGGAGAGACGTGAAGGTGGAAGCTCGTGGACCCGATACTCTTATTTTCTACCAACATCCGACTGTCTATTCCATCAGAGTCTACACACACACTATCAAGGCATCTCTATTTTAATAGACCGACGGACTCACCTGGCATCTAGCCCACATCCTCACATCCAGGTCAGACTTTTACTTGCATTTTTTTTTTTTTTTTTCATTTTTACTCTCATTTTTTTCACCTTTTGTCTAGTTTCAGAAGCGTTTAGACTTTCAGTTTTTTTTATTATTTTGGTTGGGTCAGTATTTTTCCCCACTTTTAACCCTCTCCCTCTCTGTTTTGGGAGAGTGTACACACTTGCGATTTAAAAACAACAGTGGTACCAGTTACTTGTTTTTAACACTGTATTTAATGCAATATCAATAATATTGTAAAAACTTTATTCGATGTTCTATGATTCAAACGAGACTTAAATAAAATTCTGTATTTTTTAGATTATTGGTCTAAGAACATACATACATACATACACATATATATATATATATATATATATATATATATATGTGTTCTTCCCTTTTGCGCTTTAATTTTGTAATAAATTGTATATAAGGAGGGATAAGGATACAAGGATACCGTCTGATAAGAGAGCAGCACTGTGTAAGACACATATACTTCATTCTAGTTGTACATCTAGCATCGTATTACAACTAGAATTTGAGTACTATATTTGTTGCGCAGTTTCCTATTTACTGTGGAGTCCAGTACTCCACAGCCACTTCACTATAAAGAATTTGTGGACATTTCTGTAGGCTTTTTAATAATTGTATCCACATTAACACAACTCACCCACTAATCAAGTTAATCGATAATAAAAAAAGAGGAAGGAGAATGTACCTTGTTTCCGGATCTAATGAATCCATTACAGATTTATTTTCTAAAAGGTTCTTCAAACTTTGGCATAGCTCAATGTTTGTATTTAACCTGAAACATACAGAGTAATAACTACATTACACACAAAGTTAACAGAAACATCACAGGGGCTATAACTACTTGGAATTTATTTTGTACTATTTTGTGCATTCCACATAAATACAATACAAAAACATACTTCTCTACCATGGTACCAATGGTTCTGCAGGCGTCCTCAGCTGCTTCTCTGAATGAAGAGTCAGGATGAGCTACTCTCACAAAATCAGCCTGTGAGCAGTAAAGGTAAAACAAAAGAGGAGATCATGGATTACCATTTCTACTACGAAATGCAATACCAAGCAAATACTCTAAACTGGTAGAGTACAAATGGCCAATAGAAGAACTTTGTTTAGTGTTGGACTACTACAAGGACTTAGAAGCATGTATCTATCCAAATGGCATGCGAAAATACAATAGTGTCATGACTGCAGATAAAGATCTGGATGATGAAAAGTATGGCAGCGCCGGGATGCAATTCACCTGCACCTCTATTTTCTCACCTAAGCAATGCATTATCAATACACTCTGGCCTGGAGTATCCCTTTAAAAACATAGGCACCAGGGTCTACGACAAGGTCACAAAGAATAGAGTATGCTTTAAATGGCAAGAAAATAGATTGAAATAAAAAAATAAATAAATCAAGCATCCTATGTGTGAATTGTCACTAACCAGATCTGCAACTCTGCAAAGTTCATCAGACAGCTGATCAAATATCCTCACAGTCTCAGCTCCTGGAGGAGTAGAACACACTTTTTCCAGCAGGCTCTCAGTTTTCTTTAATGCGGTATCTTGAACACTCTGAAATCCTTCTGGAGAGCTTAATTCAGCAACCCCAAAAAGACCCTGCAACATACAGAATAAACATGAATGACATACACGGCCGGAGGATACTTACCTATAATATTTGCCAAACTTAAAGGACCACTACAGGCACCCAGACCACTTCAGCTCAATGAAGTGGTCTGGGTGCCAGGTCCATCTAGGATTAACCCTGCCTGCGGTAAACATAGCAGTTTCGGAGAAATGTTTACATATGGGTTAATCCAGCCTCTAGTGGCTGTCTCATTGACGGCCGCTGGGGCGCTTCCGCGCTTCTCACTGTGATTTCCACAGTGAGAAGACTCCAGCGTCCATAGGAAAGCATTGAGAGGGAGCCCGGCGCTGGAGAAAGGTAAGAATTTAACCCATTCCTCCCCCTTCAGCCCAGCAGGAGGGGGGGCCATGAGGGAGGAAGGGACCTATTAAAACTATAGTGCCAGGAAAACGAGTTTGTTTTCCTGGCACTATAGTGGTCCTTTAACAATCATAACATTTAAATATATTGGTCACATTTTTGTTTTAAAAAAATATTTTTCTTGAAAATATATATTTTTTAAAACTTTTTTCCCATTAGTTGGGCATTGTTAAAGTTACGAACACAAATATCAAGATTATTTTATCTTCACGAAGTGTGTGGACATCTTGTAATTGTACAATGAACTGTTTGTTACTTTTGGAGTATAAATTATGCCCCTGCAGTCTCAGTGCTCAATTATCTGTCATTTAGAAGTTAAATCACTTTGATTTATGAATGGATTTAAAGGGGTCTATGCAGTGCTGACTTACATTAACCCCTTAAGGACACAACTTCTGGAATAAAAGGGAATCATGACGGAATATTTCCGTCATGTGTCCTTAAGGGGTTAAAAATGGCCCAGGTATCCAGTGATTCCAGTGTCTAATATTGTGAGCCGGGATTTGACCCTACTTACACTGTAATCTATTTATGGGCATTTAAACGCATATGGGATAGGCAACCTTTGGCACTCCAGATGTTGAGGACTATATCTCCTATAATGTTCTTATAACCATAGCAACCAGGCAAAGCACCGTGGAAGATGTAGTCCAAAACATCTGGAGTCTCCAAGGTTGCCGACCCCTGGAAGAGCTGGGGCCACTATAAATGGCCCGAGCAGACAGAGGGTAGCCCCAGGTATCCATTAATCCTGGGACTCCTTGGCACCAAATCTGCAAGGTGTTCAATGCCGCTCTACAGGCATTTAAGCTCACTCTACGTAGGATGGAATTGAATGCCCCAATGTCATTAAAGGGTTAACATAACCCTCATGTTTTGTTTCTAACTATTTGCACGATGGCTACTATTGCTGCTAGTGGACAAATGGTTCACATTTTTAAAACTTCTATTCCACGTTCTACCAATACGGTCTTGGATTTTCAGCATTTCAAGATCTCAACCATTAGGTTGCATCCATGCAGGCTGAAATCCGGGGGACATTCATGTCTATTAGGGTGCTGCTTTGCAAAATCCCGACATTGAAAATTCATGTGAACAATGTCCGGATTTGGCAGTCTGAATGGCTGCTGATGGATCTGGATGATAGTTTTATCCAAGTGTAATAAACCCCATAGTGTATACAGCAAAGTATTTTGGCTCATGGATTTTGGGTGCACATTGGCCGATAAATAGTATAAAGTGACCATCCACTTCACTCCATCTTTTTATTGAGAGAAGGAACCTGGTGAAAGTAAGAGAAGTACCAATGACATAGTCCCCTCTGGATTACAGGGGTCCTGAGGGACAACTGTTTTTTTTGTGTGTGGACCCGCCATGCATGCTCCCTGGTAATTAGCTTTGCACATGCTTTGTTAGGAACATGGGAGAGATTTGGTTTGAAAAGGGAGTTGCAGAGCCAATTCTACATCAGCAGTGGATATATAACCCCATCACAAGCAAACGGGGATTACCAGCTAGAGTTCAAATATTGGCAGGGCAGGACAACGTATCTGCCACTTTCTGATAAAGAGAGCTATGACGTAACGCAACGTATTATCATTTATGGCATTTATATAGCGTCCAACTTATTCCGCGTGACGTGCATTGCTAGGCTAGCAGCTTTCAAGTCAGGGCTACTGCAAACGCAATATGACTTTAGGTGAATTTCTGACCCATCTGGGGGGGTTCAAGGTCAATCTAGAGATCATCATTATTATTTTTTTTTTTATGATTTATATAGCGCCATCAGATTCTGTAGCACTGTACAATGGGATGAACACACCCCAACTATGGAGGGGATAGAGATATATATATATATTTTTTTATTATTATTTTTTTATTTAAAAACACAAGTATTGAATATCCTACTCTGGAAGGTTTATTGGTTTGTTATTGGGTCAGCATGAACTTTGCTTGGGAAAAGACAAGTTATTTTGACTTTGAATGTGAACCCTTTCAGTGCCAGGTGTGCTTGGTGCTCCCCCAGCCAGCACTGGGTCAGTAAACACATGGAGTCCATGTCCCTCTCACCGTTTTCTTGCTGAGCACATCCAGCCTGCGGTGCTGCTTGACATTGAAGGCGGCTCCCACCGGGGCCCAGCCGGTGCTGACTGTCCGTCCTCCGACATGATAGCAGACAGAGCGCAGCGCCCGCCGCAGGGACAACATAGCGACACCTGACACTGAGTCCGGCGCCGGTGGCTACTGGAGGAAGCGTGTTGCAGACACGTCACAACGATCAAGCAGCTGATTGGTGAAACCATGTGGATAGGCGGGGCTTATGAGGCAATGTCATTTTGAGACGTGCTGGGAACGTCAAAGATGCTGTAAAGGGAGCTGGAGTGTTCATTGGCCCCAAACTCCATTCTAGGCTAAATACTAGGATTATTTTATAGTATTGAAAGGTCTACACATCACTGGGGGTTCAGTGAGCATGGAATTTACCCTATCTCACTTATTTTTGGGTGGGGGGGGTAGGGGGAGTAAAATATTCTAAAATAAGAAATTGTCTGAATAAATATTGCATTCACATGCTGGGTGGTCTTTCTGGTGCTTTTCCTGTTTGTGCCTATTGATGCCCTTTATTGGGGTCATTTTATTTTGCTGTTCTGGATCCTTTTCTCTTTGACCTGTTTATTAAAGCGAAACTATAGTACCAGTAAAACAAACTCGTGTTCCTATTACTTTAGCTTACCCCCTATGTCAAGGTCCCCCCCGCCGTGGTTCACAAGGGGTTTAAAATCCCCATTCTGTCACTTACCTGGGTCCAGAATAATATACTAATCCTCCAATGCTCTCCATGCATGCCAATGGTACGCAATCCGTTTGTGCTCATATCCAGTCTTTAGCCAAATCTTGCCAATTCCATCCGCCCCTTTCTCATCCGAAATGTTACTAAGGAGCTTGTTAATGCTCTTGTAATTTCTTGATTACTGTAATTCTCTCCTAATTGGTCTCTCCAGACACCATAGTGCCTCTTTACAGAACATAATGGATGCTGCTACCAGGATTATATTTATCTTCTGTCGCTCCTCACACCTCACCCCCTCTGTAAAACATTACATTGGCATCCTGCACCCTATAATCTTCAATTCAAAATATTAACTCTTATCTACAGAGCTCTCAACATCTCAACCCCACTGCCCCCCATTACATTACTTCACTAATTCATAGGTTTGCTCCTTCAAGACTGCCCTGCTCTGTTGATTATCTTTTCTTGTCTGTTAGCTGTACTGCTAACTTGCATTTACAAGACTATTCATGGCTCCATTCGTATGGATCAGCCTTCCTATGCTATCAACCAAACTCTTAAATTCCTTCTGACTTAAAACATTTAAAATCTTCCCTTTCTCAATCAGATTATTATAGCTTAAAATTGAGCTATAATAATCTGATTGAGAAAGGGAAGATTTTAAATGATTTAAGTCAGAAGGAATTTAAGTTTTTAAATGTACAGTTCCCCAAAGTCCCTGTCTTTTACTATTTACCCAAAATACATAAAGATAAGGAGAAACCTCCGAGCAGACCTATAGTTTCGGGAATAGGATCAATTTCGAGCAAATTGTCGCAATATATTGCTAAGTGCTTACAGCCTATTGTTTGTACATGTCCTAGTTATCTCAAAGACACTATCAATATACTACAGATAATTAAAGATGTGGAATGGAAAGATAGTTACTATTTGGTAACTGCAGATGTGAATTCCCTTTATACTATAATTTCTCATACAAAAGGATGTACTGCAACAAAGCACTTTTTAGAATCCTCAAAGAATTTTCCACAAACACAAGTAGACTTCATCATAGAGGGAATCAATTGGATCCTGATGAATAACTATTTCTGGTATAAGGATCAATTTTATCTACAAGTCTGTGGAACGACGATGGGCACGAGGTTCGCGCCCAGCTATGCTAACTTATTTATGTCCCATTGGGAACAAGAATTTATTTATCAGGACCATAGATGGGATGCGAACCTCGTGACCTACCGCCGTTACATAGACGATATCTTTTTTATTTGGGACGGGGACAAATTATCATTAATATCGTTTTTAGGACATCTTAACACTAATGATTGGGGGATTAAACTTACAAGTAATTTTAGTAAGCAAGTTGTAGAATTTTTAGATCTCAACATCTATGTTGAAATGAATGCATTAAAAACTTGCACCCACTTTAAGAAAGTGGATGTGAACAGCTACATAGGGGAAAGTAGCTGTCATTTCTCCCCCTGGCTATTAAATGCTCCTAAGGCGCAGTTACTTAGAATTAAGAGGAATTGTACAGATCAACATAAATTTTATGAACAGTCAGAAAAGATAATTAATGATTTTAAAGAAAAGGGTTATAAGGAAGATCTTCTGGGGAAAGCACTTTTAGAAGTGGAACACAAAGATAGATTGGAATTAATAAAATATAAGGATAAAAAAGAGACTACAGAACCACAGAGTGTAAAATTTATTTGTGATTTTAATTACAGTAATAGGCAACTCAGAAAGACCATTCGGAAGTATTGGCCCATACTAAAGAATGATCCGATTCTAAACTCAATACTTCCTAATTCACCTGAGATAGTATATAGAGGTGTACCGAATCTTAAAAGCACTTTAGTAAAGAACCACATACCATCAAGGAAACTGACAAATACATTTTTTAAAGAAAAATTTGGTTTCTACGGATGTGGTATGTGTGGAGCTTGTAAGAATTCAAATAATGGTAAAAGAACAGTGAGAGAATTTAGCCATCCACAAGATAAAAGTATAACATTTAAAATTAAACAAGTTATTACATGTTATACAACAAAAGTAATTTATATGATCACATGTCCTTGTGGGTTGGCATATATAGGGAGAACCACCAGAACCCTTAACACCAGAATTCAGGAACACGTTAGGAACATAAAAAATGGGTTTTTAAAGCATAGTGTGTCCTTGCACTTTAAAAATTGCCATAACAGTAATCCTAATTTGATGGAATTTATGGGAATCCAAAAGGTGATTGGAAACTGGAGAGGTGGAGATCCCATAAAATTAATAGGACAAACAGAGATGAAATGGATTTTTAATTTGAACACTATGCAACCTTATGGTCTTAATGATGATTTTGAAATATGTCATTTTTTATAATAATCTTATTATTTTTATAATGTAAGTTTTAACAATTCTGATTGGATTTTAAGTAATATTATAGATTTTTATTATTTATATTTTTAATTCCAAAGGTATGGATTTCCTCCATTGTTTTTAAAAAAAAGTGACTTAATCATCATTGATACCTTTTAGCATTTTTTCTTTTAAATGTGGTTCTTTAAAATAGAAATGATGTACTAATCTGTAATGTACCAACTAATCATATTGATTTTCTATTCTGTTTATATATGTGTATATCGCTTTAAGTAAATATGGACACTGCTTATGGACATCGAGTTGCCAGTACAATGCCCTCTAACAAAATGGCTGATCTGACTGATGGATTGAACTATTAACTCTAACTAGAGGAAGTGACTTTGGAATTTGCTATTTGGGAGGAAGTAAACACTATACAATATGGTGTATGATTGGGTTTGAGGATTCCAGAAGTGATGTCATCTACACTCGACATAAATGGACGTGTGGATGCCATGAAGAGGAGGACAACATACAATGTGAAATAGGGGTTTTTCAGATTCCCGGAAATGACGTCACGCGCGCGATCATACGTGCGAGCGTGATGACGTCACTAGTAAGGGACAAAGCATCTGACATTGTAGTTCCTATGCTGCTAAGTAAAAACGTTCACGATTGGCTGAAAATCGATCTCCTTCTTCCAATCAGGACGAGAGGTGGGGATTTTAATCAGGATTGAGTAGGATAGTAGTTACCAATTGAGAAAGCCGAGAGAGGTCGGTGAAACGCGTTTTGGACAAGATACCAGTGTAATGTATGAATTTTATTGATGTTTTTAATGTTTATGCAATAAATTCAATTTTAATACATACACTTGGGACATCTTCTATCCTGCTAAAAGAGGGCAAGAGTCATCCCTTTAATAAGACTCATAAGCTGTCATACTCAGAGCCAAGTTACAGGCTATTTTCCAGGTGAGAAGCAACCTTCAGCTTTCTGTTTATATTTGTCATTTTAATCATAAGGATTTCAACACCAGGGCGATTTCCCCCTGTTTTATTCTCTGTTTTTTTTGAGGAACTTATTGGGATTGCAACAAGGACTACCCAGGCACCTTACAAACCCTAAAGTAATATTGGGGAGTAAGTGACAATTGCTGAGCGCTACACACTTTTTTCACTATTGCATGCTTGTGTGTATATAGTGTATTTATTTAGACAGAAACTCCATTGGTTGCCGTCTACACACGGACCATACTTTTTCTATGGCTGGAAGAAGAGGCTGACACATGGATGTACTGACTAGATTTTGGCTCAGTACTGAGATAGTCATAGCTCCTGCTATACTGCCAATGGCTGGCAACCTCGGGATGAGAATCTCAGATCTAGGACAGAATTCAAGTGTTTTCAATAAATCTTAAATCACCACAATGTGATAAGAATCTCACTTTTTATATGTAACTAAATGGACCTTTGAAAGATAATAATATAGTCAATCTTTTATTGAAATTTATGGTAATGGATGGACAGTTGCGGTTCTTTGTTTCCACTTCCTTCTTATTTTAGACAGGCCGCTGACACAGCTCTGCAGCAATCCTGCCCTGTGCTCCGATGGCCGCGAGGAGTGGATGGAAGCTGCTGCTTCTCTCTCTGTGCTGCTGTCAGTGTTGGAGAAGCGGCAGCGCAGAGCTCGTAACGTCTGTCTCAGACGGGATCCCCTCTGTCTCTGTTTGTTTCCCTCATTCTCAACTTTGTCGATGTTGTTTGAGTCACTCAGGTGTTCTACTATGTTCGCATTGAATGCTTCCTTCTCACTCTGAGCTGGAGTGTCAGGTTCTACATCCTCCATATTATCCTCACAGGTTTCTTCAACTTTGATTGTTTCATCTTGAGCCGGCTACCCGTGAAACAAAAACAAAAATGTCAAAATGTATTCATTTAAAGGGAAACAATAGTGTTAGTGTAACATTGTATATATAATGATATCTCTATATACAGAGGAATATAAAAGAGAAAGCTGCTAAGAATGTATTTAGTAAAATAGAATATTATACCTTTCCTGCTTTATGTCTATGTTCATGTTATAATTCTGATTCTGAATAGTGATCCCCATCCTATATGCTGGAGGGGAACATATAATGCTTAGCCAGAATACTCTTCACGCCAATGACATGTCTCTAGTACCGAGGGATCTGCATTTTTGTCCACCCATGATAATTGTATTAAAGAAATCCCCCTACACTCAAAGGCTTTTATTGACCCATCAAAACAAACACTTTTGTTTTCCTTTTTAATTTAACAGTATTGTGGGAAGCTGCTAAAGTACATTGCTGTCTGCTTGGCACCCCTACCTGGTTTTTACAGGCTTGTTGAAGATCATAAAGCGAAGAGTGACGGCTTTGCTACTGACCTTTGTGCTCTCACCTGCTAGTGGATAAGGGGCATGGGGGGATAATTGGCCAGAGTCTACTTATTAAACATATTAAAATAAAAAACCTTAGTACTTACACAGATAGGCACAAAGAGTTAAGGTCATGCTAAAATTAAAGATTGTTTTGGAGCCAAATGTTTAAAGGGACACTATAGGCACCCAGACCACTTCAGCTCTGAGGGACATTGGGGCTGGATTAAGGTAAGTGGCTGAAGGGGAGTGGGGACGCAAGGGGAAGTGATGCACCTTTTAAACCTATAGTGCCAGGGAAATGGGTTTGTTTTGATGACACTATAGGATCCCTTTAACAAAAGTGTTTTTTTGTTTTTTACTATGATTCACAATGTAATATACACTCACCTGACATTTGCAGACCTCCATGTCCTGAAGGCAGGATTCTACACTGTAAAAAATCGAGAAGGACAGTGAGATGTAATTATATGGAAAGGAAAAATGTAATGTAGAAAAAAGGAAACGAAATACATTCAATGAAATGAAAAAGTGGAAAGTTGTTGTTGGATGGGAACAAATTACAAGAAAAAGAAATAAAACTGTTTTAGAGTTTATTTGACCTCTTACCTGGGTTCCCTTTAGCACTTCTCCCTACTTACACTACAGCTCTCTGTCAAACTGTCTCCTGCAACGGTCACAAATTACCTACTAAGCCCTCAATTAATACTTTTCTAACAACCTACTTCGTACCCCTACTTTTACCCTTTGTGTCACTATAACCCACTCCCTCTAGAATGTAAGCTCAGTAAAAATGAAAATCCAGCGCACTCACTTATCTACTAAACAGTTATTTTAATGTTGTTAGTTTTATTAAAAACACCTAATCTAGGCAAAAAATAACGGGGGTTTAGTTACAGTATATGATCATACATTGCATAAGCCTGCCACAGCGCCAATTTACCCCATCTTTGGCAGGTCCTACTCTGTCTGCTAAATGAGCAACTCACTTGGGGAAATCCTTCCATCTCAAGTTCTCTGCAGTACAAGGCTTAAATAGGGTCATGAGATGAGGCACCTGTAACAGGGAGGGGTGCAAAACCAAGAAGCTGGCTAGACTCCTAAATAAATACATATAGGAGAAAACAAGGGTTTGGCTGCACTCACCTAAACATACTTAAATGGGGTGCTGCCAAACCCTTGTTTTCTCCAGGATGTAAGCTCATGGAGCAGGGCCCTCCACCCCTCTGTTCCTGTACGTCCAGTTGTCTGGTTACAATTACATGTCTGTTAGTCCACCCATTGTACAGCGCTACGGCATCTGATTGTGCTATATAAATAAAATATTAATAATAGAATGCTACCATTGATACTATGTCTTTTAACTATAGTAAATTCGGCCACCTCTAGTCCACTCCCGGTCCATTCCAGGTTTGTTTGTCTCTCCTTTGAAGTATCATAGCTCATGAGAGGCAGAAAAAAGCATTCTATACTATTTATGAACATAATTAATCACCCTACTCCCACATTGATACCAACTTTCATACCATTTCCAAGCAACGTTTCCAGTCAATGAAGAAAATGACTTACTATGGACTCTTTGAGAAGTGCTCGAGATGAGCCATGGTGATGAAAGGATGGCTGAGAAGGTTTATGGGAGTTATTCTCTTCTCTGGTTCTAGGGTAAGCATCTCCTTTATGAGATCAACACACTGCCACATGTCTCCCATCTCCACCATTATCCCACTCATCTCTGGCTCTGACTGTACATTTATCTGAAGAGAAAGAAGACGCGTGTGAGATGATAATTTTTTTAGTGAGGTTTATAATCATAACAATATCTAAAATTACAAATGTTATCAGTGATTGCTTCTCATTGCTCTCTACCTCCTAACTTCTATAGTGTTCGGTAAATTACCATCTAGCCAACGGCAACACTGCTTGGGATTCTAGACAGATCATTAAATTGAACAAAGAAAAGAGTTACTTGCACACTATCCCAAATCCCTAAGCACATTCAATTAACTGGAGGTTTTTAGTATCACTCTGGTGGCCACTTGAGTGTAAGCTTGCCTGCCATGTCAAGGCAAACCTAACACGTGAGTCCCACACTAACAATTCACCTTGCTTCTTTCAGCTTTAAAAAGGTCAATTTGCTTATTTCAGAATTAAAAAGGTACATTTAAAAAAATCAGAATCAAAAAGGAAAAGGGTAACTTCATTAAATTGCTACGAAACTGTTAGACATATAAACAGAGATGATTAAAGTTTTAAAATGTGTTTATCTCAAGGTGCACAATGGTTTTTGGACTCCCCGTATAAACCATGCACATACACTTTTTGCCATCACTCTTGTTGCTCCTCACAACTTACATTAAGCACAAAGAGATTTCTCAACTGTCTTGTCTGTGCTTGACCAACCAAGCAGTTTTAAAGTATCCAAAATATTGTAGAGAATATTACATGGGTGAAGGAAAGATGAAGTGTAACATTCTATTTTAGGTTAGTAGGAGAGCCCCAGGAATACAGTACCTTTGCCAAGTCATCAAGACAACTGAAGATATTTGTCCTTCTTTCTATCGGTTTAACACCAGTCTCCCATTCGTATCGATCTTTAATCTAGAGAAGAGGACAAAAAGGATTCTCGATTAGTTTCTGGAAGGAGAAACTCATTCACTGTGGCATTCTCCAGTGTCCCAATGAGATTCCTGATAATGTAGGTACGGAACCATTAAACATGTCCTGCCATTTACTTACCCAGTAGCTTTCCTCAGAGTCACACAGTTTTTTTATTTTTTTATTACCATGTTGTAGTTAATAAAATAAATTAAATATGAATATTGCTTTAACTGCTTCATGGTAGATCATGAGCTGGGACATATTATAGGATTTAATTATTCCCTTGTCTTGAATTTTATTTTATATAAATAAGGTTAAGGATGATAAGGTTTAGGTGTCACCTTCAATCTCCATAAAGAATGCTGGTAATATCTGTGTCTTCTAAAGAAAAGATGGGTCTTTGTTGCCCTGTTGAGCATGTTTTCATCAGGTAAACCCTGGGTCTCTGTGATGTAGCGTATCTGGAGAGAGGAAGCAAGAGGTTCATGTACCGTTAAGATACCCATAATCACCAGCTTCTCTGCTGTCTGAATAACTGGATTTTCATAACTGATCAATACCTAACATTATCCTTTTCTTTGCCAGAGGGATACTCATTTGGCAATTTTTTCCAGCTCTGTTAAAATACAAATATTATCAACTTTAAAATCTGGAGTATAATTAATAACCATATCCCAACATACAGGCTGACCTCAGTTGGGTTGGAGAACTCTTCCAAATTTGCACTTTTGCCTAAATTTAGCAATTTTGTATCTTTAAAGGGACTCTCGAGTGCTAGGAAAACAAACCGTTTTCCTGGCACTGCAGGTCCCCTCTCCCTCCCACCCCTATCCCAGGTTGCTGAAGGGGTTAAAACCCCTTCAGTGACTTACCTGTATCCAGCGCCGATGTCCCCTGGCGCTGGTTCAGGGCCCACCCACACTCCTCCCCCCGCCGACATCATCTGGTGGGGGAGACCAATTACGCATGTGTGGCCGGCGATGGGGGACACCTAGTGCTTTCAATGCTTTCCCATGGGGATTTCAGCAATGCTGGAGGTCCTCACATAGCGTGAGGATGTCCAGCGACGCTATAGCACAGAGAATCTGTGCTATAAACCCGGAAGTGCCCTCTAGTGGCTATCTAGTAGACAGCCACTAGAGGAGGAGTTAACCCTGCAAGGTAAATATTGCAGTTTATGAAAACTGCAATATTTACAGTTGCAAGGTTAAGGGTAGTGGGAATTGGCACCCAGACCACTCCAATGGGCAGAAGTGGTCTGGGTGCCTGGAGTGTCCCTTTAACCCATTAAGGACACATGACATGTGTGATATGTCATGATTCCCTTTTATTTCAGAAGTTGAGTCCTTAAGGGGTTAATTCACTACAATTCCATGTTTAGTGAATAAACCTCTTTAAGTTTAATTGAAAATTGACCATTTTGTCTAGGGATGCACCGAAATGAAAATTCTGGTCCGAAACTGAAAATTCAGGATGCCCTTGGCAGAAAACCAAAACCAAAAAAATGACTTTTTTATTTAGTGAATAACCCTGTATATTTCAACAGGATTTGCAACTAGTAAATATGAGAATGTTTTTATTTTTTTTTATTGAATTTTGTTAACCTGCACTGCATTTGGTCCTTAGTAAATAGCAAACTGAAGAGTGAATGACAAGAATGACACTAAATTTGCCAAGCTTACTTTTGCTTACTAGGATATATATTTATTATCCCTTTATCTAATGATTTATTTGTGCTATTTAGATTCCAATTCACTTTAGATTGCATTAAATGGTGATGATTTTCTATTAAATTTATTTAATCCCCGTTAATGTGTGTATAGGACAGATACCATATCATACATTCAGTACACACTGTGAGAAGGAGCACACTGTCCGGCCAGCTGATGGGGGATTGAAGGGGAATACTGATACTGATTAATAATAAACCCCCAGGAAGTGGCAGAATATAGTAAGTTATGAGCTGTCCAGCCAGCAGTTAACATATCCAGATTACCCTCAGACCAGGCTGCCGGTGTGGTCTGGCTCCCGGTGACTGCCTGTCACAGTAACTCATCTCTACAGTGCCCAGCTCCACCAGCACCACCTACAGCCACAGGTTGTGCCACTGCTCACACATCACTTATTGGTACAAAGTAGCAGAGCGGCGGTGCGCGGCCCTGTCACAGACATGTGACCCGGCTGCAAAATGGCGGCACCCAGTAACAGAGCGCAGGACTCGTATAGCGGCAGTGATGATTTCCAGCGGTTCCGGGAGGCGGCTTGGGAGCCACAGAGTGAGGGAACTGATATGGTTTTAGCTTGATGTGCGGTTTTTAAATGTTACGGCACAGTGTGCAGCTCACACCCTGCAGAGCTGCAGACTGTACTGGCTCTCTCCCCGGGCAGACAGGACGGGCCTTGCACCCGGCGGCACATAGGGCAAGCAGCAGGGTCCCCTCCCAATGTGGGGTACTGAGGACCTGGACCTGACAAGACACGCTGCCCACATTTTCGGCAGCTTTGACCAATTTTTTGTCGAAAATTTCAGCAGCCAAAATTTCGGTGCATCCCTAATTCCGTTTAACATTGCACCTCTGTCTGTACATGTCACAAACTTACCAGTGCCTAGCGCCCATATCCGCTCTCCTCCTCGAGCCATGCGGGCAGAAGGCACCGCATTACTGTAGTTCCTCAGGCCGCACGTCCCGAATAGAAATTACTCACCTTCGTTCCAGTGAACGGCTCCCTGCAGCCCCTATAAATAAAACTATTTGCCATGACGTCACTCCCTTAAAGGGACCACGTAATCTAGGCTACCCCATGCTGTTTGGGGTCGCAGCGATGACATAGACCAATGGGAACTCTTTTGAGTCTATTTAAGGCTTGTTTTAGCCTCCATTCATTGCCCTATTGTTGTTTCTGTATAGATCCTTGCTTTGTGCTCCTAGTGATTCCCTTGGGATTTTCTGTGTTTGACCTTGGCTTCGTATCGAACTTGTCATTTCTGGTATCCTTACCCGGCTTTGTCTTGACTCTGAGTATTTCTGTATTCCTGACCTTGGTTTACTTTGACCTTGTATCTTGCTGTATTACTACGTTAAGTCCACCTTTTGTGGGTTTCCACTCTCCTGTGTGTTGGGGTAAGTCTCCCATGACAGTACAATGAAATAAAACAGCTACACCGGGCCTGTCCAACCTGCGGGCCCCCAGATGTTGCCAAACTACAACTCCCATGATTCTTTCAATTAAACAGATAGCCAGGGAATCATGGGAGTTGTAGTTCAGCAACATCTGGGGGGCCGCAGGTTGGACTGCCCTGAGCTACACAATAACTTTCTATCTGAATTCATTATGGATTCCTGATTGAGACCTTAACATACAATTAGACATAAATATCTGTTCGCTATGCACTCACCTGATCATACTCAGATGCTCCAGGATATAAAGTGCATCCTGTGAAGAGCTCCGCCATGATGCACCCCAAAGACCACATGTCAATAGCCTCACAGAATGGATATCCCAATATAATTTCTGGAGACCTGCAAGTTACAATAAGGGGAGATATAAGAAGGATATGCCTTGGGGAAGCTGTATAAAACATGCCCACTGTAAGAGCACTGTGTGAATGTGTAGAGATAAACTCCTCCAGAAACCATAAACTGGTTCACTAATGTTGCTAAATATAACGTAAAAACTGTTGGACAGAAAAATGAACCCGATCTGATTAACATTATTCTTTAAACTCATTTCATAAACTGACAAGCTTAATTTAAGTGTAAATTATACGTAATGAATGTCTCTTACCTATAACATCTTGCTTGTATATAACTCGAACACCGAGCCTCGGACACATGGCGCGCACACCCAAAGTCTATCACCTTGACCTTTAATGGGTGTGTGATATTGTCCACCAGCATGATGTTGTCTGGCTTCAAGTCTGAATGGATTATTCCAAGACTCTTGAGCTTTGCCAGTGCAATGCCCACCTGTGCCACGATAGGGCGGATCATTCTCACAGGAAACGAGCCACCAATTGACACCATGTAGTCAAAGAGACTCATATCTAGCATCTCAAACACAAGGCAGATGATATTGTTGTAGAGGAAAAACTCAAAGGCTTTGATGACATTGAATTCATCTGGACGTTGCTTATTTAGCTGAGTCAGGATGTTTATCTCAGCTTGTGCTACTTCAGCGACATACTTGCGGCTCTTTAACATTTTGATGGCCACTTTCTCGCTGGTTCCTTTTTTAACACATTTTACGACTTGCCCAAAGGTGCCACTGCCCAAGAGTTCTTGCATTTCATAAGCATTAGTCTCCGAATACAGGACTTTTTGTTCCTCCAATTTACTAAGGGAAAAACATGAAACAGGTTAATTTGAACCCAATGCTACGGTTTAGTCACAGTATAAAACCATCTAAATCAAACTTGGCAGGCTAATAATTTGATGATTTGTTCTTAAAGCTCAATATTTAAATTTGTGCAACACCTTGCATTTCTGAAGTTTAATTAGTTCTGTCTGTTAATTTCAATATCCTCTCAGTCCCTAAAGGGGTCCGTATGCAAATTCCCTCCTATATAAACATTAAAATGGTCCTTTCACTTTCATCCCTTTTAGTGTAATTAAAAGCGTTTATTAAAGTTAGCAATTGTTTTAGAGAAATAAGGGATATGAAGTAGAGACTATTTCACGTCAGCGGTGTTGAGATCGTAATCTGTGGGGTAAAATCCAAATGATTAACTATCTATTGTAGTTATGCCAATCAAAGTCCACCAGTGGAGATGTAACTGAATGGAGAGTAGTTTTTCAGTTAGTAAATTAGCAATAATATACTGAGGAAAGCTCTGATAGCGACCAACAAGGTTATAATGTCCAGGGTCATAATATAAGTAGTGGACATTGAATTGAAAAGAAACTTTGCAAAGTATCACCCAGTAATATTAACCTGTAGAACTGGATGCACGTGTGAACAAGCACACATTCATGAGCTGTCATTTTGTTATTGTCGGTCCTTTAAATTAATTGTATCTAGATTTTAAGGAACTTGCTTTCTTACAATATTACTACATTAGCTATATATAAAATAAACTATTTTTATATAAACCTACTGCAAGCCATTGTTTTGCTCCTTGGGTTCAGACATTTTGGAGTTTTCCTCCATTTTAAATACTGCTTGTCTTTCAAATTGATCCAATGTGGTTATCACTGGAATAACTGTTAATCACTGCTTACTCAGCTCTGGATATAACAGATAATGAACCCCAGATACATCATCATTTTATATCATAGTCCCACTTTGCAACTGTTTGGTCTGTTGCTAGGCAACGCCAGCTGTGGGGCAATGCTTAGCTATATTTTGGCTGAAACTACCAAATATTCCCAACCAAATGCCATTCAGCAAATAAATACTTTTCATTCCAAATTGTAAAAACTAATAATTTGAATTAGTAAAATTAGCACTAAAATAATGATTATAACTCTGGTAGTATCCAGAAAGATTGAGGTTATAAAGTCCAGGGTCCCAAGTTAAATATTGGACATTGAAATGGTAAATAACTTTACAATGTATCGCCCAGTAATCCTAATCTGTTAAATTATATATAGCTAGACTGCCATACAAATAGTTACCAAGGGATTTATCTTCGAACAAACTGATTACATTAGTAATAAATATATATAAAATAAACTATTTTTATATAAACCTACTGCAAGTCATTGTGTTGCTCCTCGGGTTCAGACATTTTGGAGTGTTCCTCCATTTTAAATACTGCTTGTCTTTCAAATTGATCCAATGTGGTTATCACTGGAATAACTGTTAATCACTGCTTACTCAGCTCTGGATATAACAGATAATGAACCCCAGATACATCATAACTTTACATCATAGTCCAACTTTGCAGCTGTTTGTCTGGTCTATTGCTAGGTAACATCAGCTGTGAGTTAGATTTGAATGTCCATGCATGGTTTGCTGGTTTCAAGCATTGAATGAGAGGTTCTGATGAGTCAATAATACCCCGATATGAACAAGTATTATATAACATAGTGCACAGAGATATATTTGTGCATATACTGAGACATTACGTGCACCGGCTATGCATTTGAGTTCTTAAATTTGCAATGGCAAATATAGGGAGAAACATGAAACACACAAGTACAAAAATAAAATAAATAGCTTTGAAATCAACGCTGTCTTCTGATTGGCTGCTCCTTTGAAAGTAAAAAGTACAGCTAGAAGTGAAATTATTGTCAGTGAACACAATATAGATAAATGATGTTGAACCATTGATTGTCTGTACCCTGTCTCTGTAAAATGCTCACTTCCTGGAGCAGTATAGGTATAAGAAGGCATGGTTCTAATTTACATATAATCTTCATATTTTAATGAAATTAAAGCGTGTCCACCAAACTCACCTTTAATCAATTCTGTTTCCAAAAGTCGCCTAACTGATGCTGGATGTCTTTATGCTGTGCATAAGGACATCCAGCGTCTGCTAAATCCCCATAGGAAAGAATTGATATAATGTTTTCCTATGGGGAAGCCTAATGCAAGCGCCAAGGGATTCAAGTAAGTGCTGAGTAGGGGTAAGGGGGCACTAATGGGAACTATAGCAAGTATAACAGCTTTTTTTAGATTATATTAATATTAAATTAGCTTAGCAGCTGAACCAGACGGAGGCTCTATTGATCGGCTCCATATCTAATTACATAATTACAGTTTTTTTACACTGTTACAGCTCCCAAAAAAGGGGATTCTGCCCTGCAACCTATCATGGGTTGCAATACAAAGAAGCAGAAATCAGACAAGCCGAGACCGGGCATAAAAATTGAAGATCTTCTCCAGAAGGTGCATGGCGTGCATGGGCCCAAGATGGCAGCCAACCTTGATGACTTCTCAGACTCCTCAGAGGAGTTGTTGCTGGATAGGGGGAACGCTGACTTACCACCTTCTCCACAGAGACAGACAGTCCCACAGAGTGTGGATTATATGCCTATGACAGCTGCGACTCTGAAGGAGCTGCTTAGTGACCTCTACAAGACTATTAAGACAGATGTGGCATCACTCTGCACAGACTTAAAGGACCACTATAGTGCCAGGAAAACATACTCGTTTTCCTGGCACTATAGTGCCCTGAGGGTGCCCCCACCATCAGGGTCCCCCTCTCACCGGGCTGGATGGAGAGGAAGAGGTTAAACTTACCTCTTTCTCCAGCGCCGGGCAGGGAGCTCTCCTCCTCTTCTCCACCTCCTCTCCTCCTCTTCGGCTGAATGCGCATGAGCGGCAGGAGCCGAACACGCATTCAGACAGTCTCATAGGAACGCATTCTCAATGCTTTCCTATGGACGCTGGTGTCTTCTCACTGTGAAAATCACAGTGAGAAGCGCGCAAGCCCTCTAGCGGCTGTCAATGAGACAGCCACTAGAGGCTGGATTAACCCATTTATAAACATAGCAGTTTCTCTGAAACTGCTATGTTTATAGAAAAAAGGGTTAAATCTAGCTGGAACTGGCACCCAGACCACTTCATTAAGCTGAAGTGGTCTGCGTGCCTATAGTGGTCCTTTAACAGGCCTTGTAAGTTGCTTGGGATCGGTAAAGGCCACATCAGAGAAATACACTCAGAAAATTGAACAAGAGGCGCCGTAATAACCTCAAGATAAGAGGCATATTGGAAGAAATTCCAACGACTGAGCTCCCACAATTACTGATGGGGTCCTTGCTGGCACTTAAACAAGCCAAAATGACCACTTTTGATGGGGTCGTCAGGTTCCCGAAACCCCAGAGGGCACCGGATGTCGCACCCAGTGATCTAGTGGTGCGTTTTCACAACAGTAGAGATAAGGTGGAAGTCAGGGCTGAGTCTAAAGGTGGGGGGTGCTTAGGGGAGCCCTGTCACAGGTGGCCAATTGTCCAGCTTAGGGTGCCCCCAAAGTGGCGCTAATTCAGGAAGGCAGAGCAGGCATGTGCTTACCTGAATGGTAGGTGCCTATTCTGCTGATATTTGCCAGGGGGGGAGCTAGCCGGAGTGAGGGAGTGTCGATCAGTGAGTGTGTGTATGTCAGTGAGTGTGTGTATGTGTGTCTGTCAGTGTGTGTGTGTGTCTGTCTGTCAGTGAATGTGTATCAGGGAGTGTGTGTGTGTGTGTGTGTGTCTGTCTATCAGTAAGTGTGTGTTTCTGTCAGTGTGTGTATGTGTGCCGGTTTGTGTGTCTGTCAGTGACTGTGTGTGTGTGCTGTGGTATTGTGTGTCTGTCAGTGACTGTGTGTGTCAATGAGTATGTATGTCAGTGAATATGTATGTGTGTCTGTCTGTCACTGAGTATGTGTGTGCCTGTCAGTGTGTCTCTCTCAGTGAGAGTGTGTGACTGTCAGTGATTGCATCAAAAAACAGAATACCCTGCACTCAGGTCCTGCACATATGCTCCGGCCTTCCACCAAGGGGGCGCTCTGTGTGTAGCACTTATTTTGGTGAGGTGGTGAACCCACAAGTAAATTCGCCTTCTATATCCTGGAGTGCTGCCTGTGTTTTTCTTTTTTGTCAGTGAGTGTATGTCTGATTAGAAAATCGGTGGGGCTTATAGATAGAGAGGTGAAGTTGTTGCCATAGAAACATGTATGTCTAGACATTTGCAAAGGGGAGGGATAAGATTACCACCCCACATGGAGGTGCCAAAATTTTTTTGCACCTAGGCGTCTGTGACCCTAGGATTGGCAGCAGTGCAGGCAGCTCTCAAAGGACTTCTTCATACTCATTTGAAGACCTCTTGGGAAACACCCTGCAATGGAGTAGATCCCTACAATCATTCACAATGCTATGCAGGGACTGCAAGTTCTGCTAGGGGATTCCACCCACCCTGTTCACGATCTGCAGGGAGCAGCTGCTCTTTTGGAGACCCTAAGCCTCCCACATGACTCATTGTCAAGGCTTGGGCCACGAGGGGCCTCCACTGCGACACTCAAATGGGATCCGGCGAAGGTTACCACGTTTATAGCTCAGAAATCGTTCTCGGATGTTGTGGCCACCACCTGAATATTCTATTATGAATTACCTGAGTTACATAGAGTTATAAGTTCATTTGATTTAACTTCAAGAAGAATAATATTTTATTTTGTATGTGTACTGTATGGTATTTAGCTTTATGGCTATCTACCTGATGTGCGGAGTTACTTCATTTTCATGCATAGATTCCAGCAGGATGACAGGCATACATATACGCTCATTACATTGTATTTTAGTTTATTTACCATTGGCCTAAGTAAGCTAGCAATCACACCGTTGTAGAGCTTGGAGATCCCAATAGTAAAGTCTTAGCGCACCAGAAATAGCCTTTTATTTCACTTTCATCAGGCCAGCCACTGATATGATCTTCTAGTTTTTGTTTATTAATTTATATATAAAATCTTCAGCTCACTGGTTAAAGGGAAACTATAGTGCCAGCAGAACAAACTCGTTTTTCTGGCACTATAACTTCCCCCTTTGCCAATGCCCACCCCTGTGGTGCAGAAGGGGTTAATAACCCCTTCAGTCACTAACCAGAATCCAACACTGCTCCATTCATTCTCCGGCAGACATCGTCGGTGGAGACCTAATGTGCATGCGCTCGCATTAGGATTTGCCGATAGGAAAGCATTATTCAATGCTTTTTTATGGGCATTCCGGTGACGCAGGAAATCCTCATGCATAGTGTAAGGACGTTCAGTGTCGTTTAGACAGCCACTAGAGGATGAGTTAACCCTAGCAGGTAATAATTGCAGTTTACAAAAACTGCAATAATGACATGCTCAAGGTTAAGGGTGGTGGGAGTTTGCACCCAGACCTCTTCAATGAGCTGAAGTGGTCTTGGTGCCTACAGTATCCCTTTAATTTACTGCTGTACATTGTGTCTCAATGTCTGCTCATGCATTTATATCCTTTTTCACATGTCAGTATTTGTACTGTATGATGTTTTCTCACCCCAGTTGAGTATAAATAAAGAATTACAAAAAAAAGTTGTGTTCAATATATAATTATTTGATGTGAATTAAAAGCCCTATTTCTCCTGAATCTTATATAATAAGCATGGGTGCAGTTAATATGAAAGAGGTAAACTATGGTTGAACAGACATGTAGCTCAAATTCTCAGCTCAGAACTCCACCCTTAAGTGGTTAACAATTTTTATTATGATGTTAACAAGAAACTGGTTACAGAATCATATTACAATCATTCTTTTAGTATATATTTTAATTCTGAGGTCTGTGTTTTATCATGAAATTGTTGTGTTTTTTTTTTAAATTCTCAACATTTGTAATTCTAAGATCATATAATTCTTTTTTAGTGCATAAGAATTTGTAATGATTTTAATAAAGTAAAAAAGTAACAAAAACGTAAATTGTCAAGACATTGCACAATCAATAGGTGGGTAGCAAAAAGCTTCACATCAATGTATCAATGACATCTTTAGAAAAAAACATCAATGTAAAATGTTACATTCCAATTACCATCACCACTACACTGCAATGTTCGGTTTGACTTTTTTTTGGAGTCTACCAGGTGCATCTCCCTGCCTCCTCTCTAGCCAGAGCTGCAGTAATGAGCTAAACCCAGCATTGCAGGTCTTAGCACATAGGATGAGAGCAATCAGTTGGCACTTTCAGCCAATGAACTGGCTCTGCACTGTATGGATTAGCGCAAAAGAGCTCTTGGAAACTAATGGAAATAGAGCTTCTGGCTCTCCTGAGAGGAGGCAAGGAGCAGTGCCTAGTGGACCCGTGGGAAGAAGTCAAACTGTTGCTGGGGCAGGGTCTCCTGGCACCATAACCACTACAACATGCTGGTTACGTAGGAGTGTTCCTTTAAACATAAATATTGGTGAGGCTAGGGAGATATTGATAGGGAGGTGATGAGATCTGTGTGTTACCTCTTCTAAATTATTCTGATGTTGTGAATAGCTAGTGTTCTCAGATACTTATGTATGCCATCTTTCTATCTCTAACACTATGTACTCTTTATTTCCTAGTTTTTCATAATGTATTTTAATTTAAAGACAAATTGTGCTATAAACATTTGTGAATCAGATCACTGAATCAGAAATCCAGAAAATGTTGAGTCATCATTAGAATCTGCATAAAGACCATTATTACCATCAACATCCTGGAGCCAAACTTCATCCTGCTTTTTAAGGTTCAAGATGGAAGATCCAGATGCTTGGTGAGTAGAAGTACTATATACGTGATACATGTACTGTACTATGTTACCATTGCGTCTCAGTGTAATGTGAACATTTTTAGAATAAACCGTGATTTGGTAGGTAAAAAAATAAAGACCATCTACAGGAGCAATGAATTTACCAGTTTCTACTTTGTATAATTTTTCGTCATTGTAAAAGACTTTTGTAAATTTAATGGGAGTACCACTTGGTGGTGCAGAAGTTGTAAGTCCAACATGAAAGGCATATACATTCTTCTTCACAAGTTCCCCAGTTTCTTGTTTAGCTGGAAAACCAGGAATGCCTGGTGGACCTACTTTACCCGGAGGTCCAGTTGCACCTGGTCGGCCAATTTCTCCTTAAATATATTTTAGAAAAAGAGTAAAAACAAAATTAAGGTATGAAATGTATATGTCAGCTTAAATACATCTATCCCTATCTGACCCCTGATCAATCGGGCTTTCGCCAGAATCACTCCACTACAACTGCCCTCCTAAAAGTTTGCAATGACATCCAAACTGGCATGGAACAAGGAGCCCTAACTGGAGCTATTTTCCTTGATTTTGCTAAGGCCTTTGACACAGTAGACCACGACATTCTACTGCACAAACTCGAAAACTCAGGTATTGGTGATCATTCTTTAAACTGGTTTCGATCGTATGTATCGGATCGCTCGCAATATGTGTCCATTTCTGACAGTGACTCCCTCCCTCTCCCAGTCACGTGTGGTGTTCCCCAGGGTTCCATTCTCGGCCCCCTACTATTTACATTATTTATAAATGATCTGCCTAATGTCTGCCAATCCTCAAATGTACACATGTACGCAGATGACACGGTAATCTATGCGAGCAAATCCAATCTACCTCAACTTGAGGTTTTGCTCCAAGACCAGTTTACAGAGGTAGAAAAGTGGATCGCAAAAAACAAACTCTTCCTGAACACTGACAAAACTGTCACAATGATCTTTGGAACGGTACCTAAATTACACAAATTACACAATCCCCACCTATCCATCAAAACAAATTCAAATGGCACACTGACCGCGGTCCACTCTTTCAAATACTTGGGTATGATATTAGACCCCAATCTATCTTTTGGCCTGCACATAGAAAAGCTTGCATCTAAACTTTATCCAAAATTAGGTGCCCTGTACAGAAACAAAGCCTGCCTAAGCCCTACAGTAAAGGAAAAGATTGTACAGCAAATGCTGATGCCAATCATTGATTATGGGGATGTAGTATATGCATCTGCATCGCAATCCCACATTAATAAACTCAACACATTGTATAACTCGTTCTGCAGATTTGTGCTACAATGTAATTACAGGACCCATCATTGTGACATGCTAAAGGAACTAAACTGGCTGTCGCTGGAATCCAGACGCACCCTTCATCTTTCCAGCCTTGTTTTTAAGAGCTTTTCTGGTAAACTCACACCCTACCTGAACAAAATGCTTTCCCCAGCTGTTCCCACTTTCTATAACCTCCGATCCAGTACAAGCACTTTACTTAGTCTACCTCAATACAAAAAGAAAGCGGCCCGATCCTCCTTCTCCTACAGAGCACCGCAATTGTGGAACGACCTCCCGCACAATTTAAAATCTTCCCTAAGCCTAAAGTCTTTTAAGAGATCCCTCTCTACATACCTCAAAACAGAATGCACGTGTCATGGTTGATTATATATTTCCTGCCTGTTCTATGTTAAATTTTTGTATATATTGTGTATTAATATTGTTTTTGTATTTTGTTGTACCTAATGTAACAATGCAATGATTTGTGGACCCAGGACATACTTGAAAACGAGTGAAATCTCAATGTATCTTTCCTGGTAAAATATTTTATAAATAATAAATAAATAATAATACATCTTTATAATTACAATTATACCTAGTAAATGTAACTCCTTGACAATGCTTGTGCTTTTCTTTATTTAAGACTTGTGAGATCCTCTCTGTAGTTCACAGAGCAACCCACCACAGCAGAACACACTATCTACAAGAGATGTGCATATTGTATGCTCCCATTGCAAAGAGGCTTGCTTTGTAAGTGTAATGTGTATTGTAGACTGTCAGTGTAGGAAACCGTGACCCTTATTTAGCAATCCTTACAATTTGCCCTTATCCAGAAAGTTTTACATAGCATGGCAATCAAACAATAAGCTTGATACAGTAGATTATAGAGCATTGTCGTACAGATAATCATTCCACCCAGACCTAATTTCAAGACCATGCTCTATCAACCCCGCTTTAGTTCCCCGGTGTCCTGCATATGCTCACGCTGTGCAGCGGACAATAAGACCAGGCAGAGAGTGCTTAAGCGGTGCTCCCTATTTGGTCCTGTCAGTAAGGAGCCTGTGACATAAACTGCTGCTCCGTGGGTTGCCTGTGAGGTCACGTATCCCTGCCCCCACAAACATGACAGCATGGCTCTCTGTTGGTGCTCTCTGCATAGCATAAGGAATGTCCAAGTTTCATAACAGGGTGGCAGCATTTTCAAGGTAATGTGTGCCCCATACGGCCATAATACAATAAAGTATACTGGTAATTGCATTCTTTGTGCACGTCCCACGTGCATGTTTCTCCAGGCAGAATGTTTGTCCCACGCCCCCATGTTGGTGTTTCAGAATATAGGCAATTTTTACCCCAAATTTGGGGGTTAGAAATGGCGTCCTCTATTGAGAAAAATACAGGGGGTGTGTGTGTATGAAAGTTACACAAATGGGGCTCAGGGGATATTGGTAAGGGATCAGATCAACCATGGAGAGATGAGCCAGTGTGTTATGAAGTATTAGGGAAGGCTTGTGGGAAGAGAATCTTCAGGAGTTTATGAATGGATGATAGAGAGGTGTCCTATGAGATGTGAGGAGGAAGCTTTCTCCAGTAGTAGGGAGCTATGAGTCTAAATAAAAAGAATTGGCGAAAGAGAACATGTGTATAGGAGTGGGCTAAGATATGTGAGAGAGGGAGAGACAAGAGAATGGGGAGGAATATAGAAGATTTGCCAGAGGAGAGATGGAGAAAAGCAGGTTTGTGCAGTGATTTATGAGGCATTTGAAAATAGAGCATTATCTAATCAGAAGGGGTATGGCATAAACAGAGCTCGTTAAGGGGGATGGGGTGCTGAGGAGGCAAAGCAGGAGAAGTTGCAGTCAAGTCTTTTAAAGATAAAGGCATGAATCAGTAATCTTGCAGTACTGAACATAAGAAGTCTTGCTTTGTGACCAAGTAAAACATGTCCAGCTTACACATACCTTTCTCTCCTCTCTCCCCTGGTAGACCATCTTTCCCGTCTTTTCCAGGAGGTCCATGCAAGCCGTTTGTTCCTGGAGTTCCAGGGATCCCAGGTACTCCAGCCACACATTCGTTATTTCTTGTGGTTAATGGCTCACATTCCCCAGAGTGCCACTCACTTATCAAGAGAATGAAGACAAGGAAAATGTTCCTGCTCATCTAGAATAAAATGATCGCAATAAATATTCACGTGACATGTTTTCATTATGATACACCATGGTATGACACACCATGGGCTTTTTTTAAAACTTGGTTTGATAATTACTGGAGTACTAAATAGAACCTCTTTTTTATTAGCTGTTTATTAGTGATGCTCTTATTAATAATATTGGAGTCTTGTAAAGAGCATGTATTTATTTACTTTACAGTGCTTTCAGAAAATATTCAGACCCCTTATTTTGTGCATGTAATTTTTAATGGTTTTAAATTGACAAGAGATATAAGGTAGATACATGTGGTTTCTGGACTCGCAGGTCCACCGCTTATCAAGGCAATAGGAGATTAACAAGTTCTGATATGTGTATTTCCAGGTGGGCTCGCAGGCCCTCTGTGGTGTAAGGACACGCAGGTCCCGAGGTGAATGAACCTTTTGGTAATGGTTATATTAGGGACTCTGTATCCGTTGCTCAATATGTCTTGTTTGGTTGGTCATGTTCTGGAGGTATTCTAGTGGGTGGATCCCATGTGGTGTCGGTAAGTGCCCTAAGGGCCTGGTGCGGGTCAGTCCCTGCTGTGTGGCGTGCGCTATGATAGGTTCGCCCAAGTTGGTCAGTGGAGGGACCTGTGGTGTTCCCCTCATGTCTCTCTGTGTTTTGTCTTGTGTGTTGGGAGCATAATCACTTGTGGGGTTCCTGTGGTTGCGGTCTCCCGTGTTTCCCCATATGGGACGATTTCCTGGATGGTTCCAGCTGTCCCGTTTGAGTTGTAGCTAGTGGGTTGGGGTGTGGAAGGTGGTGGGTTGTGTAACAGAGTTTTTTTCCTCTGTTGTTATTTGGGTCCCTGGGGTGGAGTATTCGGAAGAGCAGGGTGGGCCGATTCTCCACCCACTGTCAGAGTGGTTGTGCATGAGTCCAGCCCAGGTTTTCCATAGAGTTCTGGCTCACTGCCTAACAAGGTCATTAGCCTCACCTGTAGGGGCTGTGAGCAGCTATATAACTACAGTTAAAGCAGGGTGAAGTGAGGGAAGTGTTTTGGAGGAGAAAGAAGGTGTTTTGTGGAGAAAGAAGATTTGCTGTTCATTGTATCCTGTTATTTCACAACAACAGAAAATAAACAGGCCAGAGGCCTTTTTGAAACTGGACTTTGTCTTGACCTGGTTTTCTTACCCTAGAGGGCTGTGCGGTTGCCAAAAGATCCCGGACAAACACACACAGGAAAGTAAGTTTGTCACAGTTGGTATAGGGGGTTGGGGTATCTTGGTATCTAGCAACATTTCCGCAGGTGTAAAGGGGGGTGGGTCATCTGAGAAGAGTTGTAGCATTGTGTGAATCTCCTTCCAGAACGGGGGGATCTTACTGCATCCCCACCATATGTGCAAGAGTGTGCCATTCTCCACTCCGCATCTCCAGCACAGTGGAGAATGGTCTGGTGTGATCGCGTGAATGTCTGGTGTGATCGCGTGTAGTGTCGTGGGTGTGCGGTACCAGAAGGTCAATATTTTGTACACTGTTTCCTGAGTCTTGCTGTAGCTTGAGCAGTGATGTGTAAGGTAGCAGATTTTCTCCCAGTCTACCCTGGTAAGCGTGTGTCCCAGGGCCCCCTCCCACCTTCCCATGAAGCTTGGTTGTGTGGTTGGCGTAAGTGTCAGGAGCAAAGTGTATAGGAAGGCTACCCTGTGGGCCAATGGTTGTGGGTCCAGGCATGCAAATGTCGCGCCCTGTGGGAGGGTTGCTATGTAGTGCCGTATCTGCCTGTATTTTAGTTGTGTCAGGAAGGTGCTGACTGCGTCTCCTCGGAGGTCGCTTAGCGTTTTGATGCCCTCTGGCTTGTAAACGTGTCTGAGTCTGGGTACCGGGTCGTGTATTAGGGCTTGGAATGCTTTCGGGTTTAGTCCTGGTGGGAATTCCGGGTTGTGTGTCAGTGGGAGCAGAGGCGATGGGTATGACGAGAGGCTGTGTCTCCCTTTCATGCGGTGCCACTACTGTAGGGTGGACCTCGTGTAGGGGGAGTGTGTCCGTGTCTCCCTCCAAGTCTCTGGCGGCAACCATGGCAGTACCGCCATAGAGACTCCCACCTCGCTCTCCTCGGCCTGTTTCCACAGTTTATGCACCCCTTCCTTGGACCATTCCATGATCCTCAGGAGGTGGCAGGCCCTGTAGTACAAAGAGAAATCTGGTAGTGCCAGGCCACCCCTGTCTTTTGGTTGGGTTAATGTGGTATGGCGTATCCTAGGTTGTTTCCTGTTCAATACGTATCGGCCTAGTGCTGTGCGGAGCATGGTGAAAAATGTGCGGGGGATCATTATGGGAACAGTCTGGAAGAGGTAGAGAAGGCATGGGAGGAAATTCATCTTGACCACCTGTATCCTGCCTAACCAGGAGATGTGTGGGTACGCCCATTCTCGCATCTCTGAGCGGAATTGCGTGTGTATTGGAGTGAAGTTTTCCCTGAATAGGTTGCCCTCTTTCCTTGTTAGCCAAATACCCAGATATCTAATTTTGTGAGTTGCTCATTGGAAGGTGTAGTGTTGACGCATGGGAGATGCTCTGTTTTCTGGTATGCTGACATTAAGTATGTATGATTTTGAGAAATTGATTTTCAGGTTAGATATGGTACCAAAGTTGTGAAATGCTTTGAGTATGTTGGGGAGGGATACTTCTGGCTTAGTCACGAAGAAGAGCAGATCGTCTGCGTACGCAGCAATTTTGTGTTGGGTCGTCCCTACCGTCACTCCCATGATGTCCGGGTTATTTCTTATGGCCAGCAAGAGTGGTTCCAGGGCAAGGATGAAGAGCAACAAGGACAGGGGGCAGCCCTGACGGGTGCCGTTCTGTATGTCAAATGTCGCCAACAAGGCTCCGTTAACCACCACCTGGACGGAGGGCTGTGTGTATAGGGCCTCTATCCATCCTAGGACATTGGGGCCCATGCCTGTGTGTGCTAGTGTTCTGAACATATAGTTCCAGCTGACCCTGTTGAAGGCCTTCTCTCCGTACGTGGACAGCAGAAGAAGGCCCCCATGGTCGCCCCTGCGGCCGTGCATCAGTGTGAGGGTGCGCATGGTGTTGTCACGTGCCTCCCTTCCCATCACGAACTCCATCTGGTCAGGCTGTACCAGTCGGGGCACGTGGGTCTGTAGTCTGGTGGCCAAGATTTTGGCCAATAGTTTGAGGTCACAGTTTATGAGAGAAATGGGTCGGTAGCTCCCGCAGTGCTCCCCGTCCTTGCCCTCCTTGGGGAGGATGGTGATGTGTGCTGCAAGGGATTGTTTGGGGAAGTGGTGGCCCTTCCTGATGGCGTTGTAAGTGGCCATGAGTGGGGCATTGAGTGTGTCCGCGAAGGTTTTGTTTAATCGCCAAGGCCAGCTCTTCGGGTGTGATCGCCTCATCGAGGAGGTTCACTGTGTCTCCGTCTAGAGTGGGTAGAGTGTGTGTGGCTAGGTAATTGTTTATGGAGTCCAGTAGGCGTTTGTCCACGGCTTGTGACTGAGGTCGGGGTAAGGTGTACAGGTTCGCGTAGTATGTTCGGATTATTTCCTGGATCTTCGTGGGTAGTGTGTGTAGCGTGTCTTTGTCATCTCTGATGCGGTCTATGTATGTCTGCTGTCTACGTTTGGCTAACATCCGCGCAAGCAGTTTGCCGCTTTTGTTGCCGTGTAGGGCGAAAAACGCTTTGTGTCTCAGTGCATCTCTGTGGTGTCTCCTCTGGAGTATTTGAGTCAGGCCCCTACGTAGTGTAAGGAGCTTGTCCTGTAGCGTGTGTGTCTGTTTGCCCTTATTCAGGTTATCTATCGTCTGCATTTCTGTGAGTAGCGCGGTCATCTCTGCCTCCCTTCGTTTTTTCAGGAGGGCACCTTTTTGCAGGAAGTGACCCTGTACCACGCTCCCATAGGATTGTTGGTGTCGTGTGTTCGGGTGTGTTGATGGTAAAATACTCTCTAAGGACTGTGCTGATGTCGGATTTTATATCAGGTAGCATCAGTAGGTGTTCGTTTAGGCGCCATTTGGTCATCGTGGGTCTGTGTAGGGGGATGTTATTGTGACCGACATTGGAGCGTGGTCAGACCATGTCGCCGTGCTGTGTTCTGCGTGTAGGACTAATGGGAGGTGGAAGTGTGACATGAAGAAATAGTCAATTCTGGTGTATGTGTTGTGAGGGTGGGAGAAGAACGTGTAATCTCTTTCATCGGGTGATGGGCCCTCCAGCAATTCACTAGTTTTTGTTTAGACAGCAGTGATTTGAGAGTGGCTAGGTGTTGGGCTGGGATGTGCATGACGCCTGTGAATGTGTCCCATCTCGGGTCCAAAGCCAGGTTGAAATCTCCCCCCAGTACTAGGATACCCTCCATGAATTTCCCTAGTAGGCGTAGTGTTCGTGAGAGAAATCTGTAGTGTCTCTGGTTAGGGGCATATATGTTGGCAAATGTGTATGTTTGACCTGCAATTGTCCCTTTCACCTTTCTAGGTATCTTCCCTCCCGGTCCGTTTGTGTCTCCTTCTCTACGAAGGGTACCCTCCTATGCATAAGGATTGCAACCCTTCGAGTTTTGCCCTCGTGGTAGTCGCTGAAGAACCCCTTGGGGAATCTGTGATCATGCATTCTGGGTCGAGCCCCATCTTTGAAGTGGGTCTCTTGTATGTAGACTATGGATGCCTTGAGAGCATGGAACTCGCGTAGGGCTGTCGACCTCTTTTCAGGTTTGTTGAGCCCCTTCGCGTTGATGGATACTATTGTGAGGTTGGCTGGTGTGAGTGTCATGTTCAGTGACTGGCTGTGTGTCGTAGTCTTCTGTCGTCGGGTGTCAGGGAGGGGGGGATGGGTAAGGGATGAGTCAGGGGTAAGGAGAGGGGGATAATTGAGGTGTCCGCCGCCTAGGTGGCGTTAGGGTTTTTGCGTCAGGATGTTTGTGGGGTCCTGAGCCTTTCCGTGGGCCCAATGACCCACTCACTGTAACTAACTAACTAACTATGCTAACACTGCTGTAGCCCACCAGTTTGCTGGCTAATCGCATTAATTTTGAATTCACTTTGAATTCACATTGAATTCTTACTTTAGTGCAAGTATTAAGTGTCGTGACAATACATAAAACATGATATGTGAAAAATAATGTTGTTAGATGACATTGACTTATATCAGAATATATACTATTCAATTAATAGAGCTAAGCTTATTTTATCTAATAAAATCTAGTCTATAGTATGGATGGTGAGAACTTCTGTCTGTCTTAGAAGACCCTAGATTTAACTAAAGCATTGTTTCATACTGTGGATTAAGCAAACATATTCAGGTACATATGAAGGGTTAATCACTAAAGCTTGACTTGTTGGGAATTCCTAAGCTAACTACAAATTTTAGATCAGAATGTGGTGGCATGTGTTTCAGTCAGGAATAAGAAGTTGCAGTGAAAGATATGAAATATATAGTTCATATACATTTACTTTAGAGGTATCTTGCTGTAACCAAGTTTGTTACAATAACATACCTGGATTAACACATAGCATTATAAAAAGAATAGACTATAAAACATATAGAAAACATTCAAAAGCACCATTACTTACATTACCTTCGTATTTTTACACTGGCAACTGCAATTCCTAGAATGTCCCAAAATATGGTTTACATTGTGTTTTATTGTCAGAAAATAGCATGAACTTCGCTAATGATAAAACTGAGGTTAATGGAAAACTGTAAATCTCCGTGAGTTTGGTTAATAAATGCTTTCTAAAACTGTTTACTATTAACAATAATAGAACACAGTGAACTTGTGCTAGATGGAACGCTATCAGCAGGGGCGTACCTAGAGCATTTGGCACCCGGGGCGGATCCTGTGCTTGGCACCCCCCCCCAAAAAACCTGTAAAAAATGTAAAAGGTTCTCACAGGCAGACAGTCACACATACACATTTCCTCCGTGCGGCCAGTTTATCAGCTGTTTGCTTGTGTGAGCTGTACTGCCACAGCCCCCTCCAGCCAGGGCCGGTGCAAGGATTTTTGCCGCCCTAGGCAAAAGTAAAGTTTGCCCCCCTCCCCCCCATGTGACATCACAATGCCCCACCCATATGATTTGCCATGTTAACTAACGCCAGTGCTGCAGTGCCGCCGTGTTTACATTAAAAGGCCTGCAGGGACAGGCTATAGACACCAGAACCACTACATTAAGCTGAAGTGGTTCTGGGGACTATAGTGTTTCTTTAATGTGAGGTAAATTAGAGCTTAGTGCCACGAATAATATACTAGATTGCCTACTTACAACCAGATGAGGATGATGATGGGCTCTAGCTGCAGTCTGGCTCCACTGGTCTGGTGCAGAACAGGCTCTCTGGAGGCGGTTTGTAACTGTGGTCACAAAAATCAATGTTCTGGGAGAACGGGAAGCAGCTCCATTTTTTGGGGGTCCTTTACACAGCTCAAGGTCTGGGTCCCAGGGTCCACCTTCATGTTCCACCAATGAGTTTGTTCACAGGGGGTGGAGTGTGTAGGGGATGTCCTGATATGTGTGTAAGGAATGCATTGTGTGAAATTGTGTTTGTATGTGTAAGGGCTGCAAGGTGTGTTCTGTGTATGTATGGGATGCATTGAATGTGTGTAAGGGGTGCATTGAGTGTGTGTAATGAATGCATTGTGTGTTTCTGTGTGTGTAAGGGATGCATTGTGTGTAACGGTTGCATTGCTTGTGTATGTGTGTCTGTGTGTGTAATGCATTGTGTGTTTTTCTGTGTGCAAGGGGTGCATTGTGTGTATGTGATGAATGTCAATCTCTCCTCCCGCTCCAATTTCCTTCTCCTCCTCCTAATTTCTCTCCCCCCCTAATTTCTCTTTACCCCCTCCTAATATCTCTTCCCCCCTCCTAATTTCAATTTCTCTTTCCCCCCTCCTAATATCTCTCCCTCCCTCCTAATATCTCTTCCCCCTCCTAATTTCTCTCTCACCCCCTCTCTCCTTTCTCACCCCCTCCTTTCTCTCCCCCCCTCCTTTCTCTTTCTCTCCCCCCCTCCTTTCTCTTTCTCTCCCCCCTCCTTTCTC